CTTATGGCCTTACCTCTACCCTTTTTGACAGTTCATTATCCTATGTAATAAAAGGCTAACATGCAGATTGACCAAACAGCCGCAATGATGTGCACTGACCACCAGGGGGCAGATGTTCAATGCAGGAGCTACCCCCTGGTGGTCAGTGCACTCCCACAGGGGGAGCTCCACTCAGCCAGAAACTGGGATCACGGCTGGCGAGCGCTATGGCAGTGGCGGGAGCCTCTCCCGTCTCTGCAGCAGCACTAAGGATGTCTGACTGCCGGCTTAGGCCTGCTTCCCATGGGGAGCGGGCCTAAGTCATCAGTCAGACATCCCACAAGGGCTCCCGGACTGCGAGAGGGCACAGGCCGGGCTGAGGAACACACATACCCCCCCCACCCCACCCCCCGCTGAGTGCACAAATTTTGTGCACTGGGCCTTTAGTAGGTATATAAAAATGCAACTGATTTCTAGATATTTATTTTGTATCTTGCTTCTTCACTGAATTCATTTCTCAGTTCTAGTAGTTTTTGGTAGAATCTTTAGGGTTGTTTATATATAATATCATGTCATCTGCAAATGATGACGGTTTTACTTCTTTTCTAATTTGGATGCCTTTTATTTCTTCTTCGTGTCTGATTGCTGTGGCTAGTACTTCCACTACGATGTCAGCTAAGAGTAGAGAATGCACACATCCATGCCTTGCTCCCATTTTTGCCCATGGAGTATGATGGTGGCTGTGGTTTTGTTGTATATGGCCTCTATTATGTTGAGGGATGTTCCCTCTATTCCCATTTTGCTGAGACTTTTTATCATAAATTAATGCTGGATTTTATCAAATGCTTTTTCTTCATCTATTGATATGATCATGTGTTGTTGTTTTTTGTCCTTCATTTTGTTTATGTGGTGTAGCATGTTTATTGATTTGCGGATATTGTATCAACCTTGCATCCCCAGAATAAATCCCACTGGATCATGGTGTGTGATCTTTTTAATGTATTGCTGGATTTGGTTTGCTAATATTTTGTTGAGGATATTAGCATCTATGTTCATCAGGGACTTTGGCCTATAATTTTCTTTCTTTGTAGTGTCTTTGTCTGGTTTTGGAATTAGGATAATGCTGGCCTCATAAAATAAGCTTGGGAGTCTTCCCTCTTCTTGATTTTTTTGGAATAGATTGACAAGAAATAGATGTTAGTTCTTCTTTGAATGTTTGAAAAAAAAAAAACCACAAAAAACCTGTGAAGCCATCTGGTCTAGGACTTTTGTTTGTTGGGAGTTTTTTATTACTCCTCTGATTTTACTAGTAGTAATCTGTCTATTCAGATTATCTGATTTTTTCCTGATTCAGTTTTGGAAGATCGTATGTTTCTAGGAATTTATCCATTTGATCGAGATAGTCCAATATGTTGGCATATAGTTGTTCATAATATTTTCTTACAGTCCCTTGTGTTTATTTGGTGTCAGTTGTTACCTCTCCTCTTTCATTTCTGATTTTATTTGTTTGACTCCTGTATTTTTTAAAATATATTTTTATTTATTTCAGAGAGGAAGGGAGAGGGAGAGAGAGATAGAAACATCAATAATGAGAATCATTGGTTGGCTGCCTCCTGCACGTCCCCTGCTGGGGATCGAGCCTGCAACCCAAACATGTGCTCTTGACTGGAATTGAACCCGGGACCCTTCAGTCCACAGGCCAATGCTCTATCCACTGAGCCAAACCAGCTAGGGCTCCGTCTTTTTTTTTTTTATGAGTCTGGCTAAAGGTTCATCAAACTTTATCTTTTCAAAGAACCAGCTCTTGGTTTCATTGATTTTTTTTGTATTGTTTGTTTTTTAATCTATTTCATTTATTTCTGTTCTAGTCTTTATTATTCCTACTCACTTTGAGCTTTTTATTTTCAAGTTCCTTTTAGTGTAAAGTTAGATTGTTTGTTTGAGATTTTTTGTTTGTTTCTTGAGATAGGCCTGTAATACTATGAAATTCTCTCTTAGGACTGCCTTTGCCTTGTTCCATAGATTTGGTGTTGTTGTTGTGTTTTCATTTTCATCTCCTTCAAGGTATCTTTTGATTCATTCCTTGTACATCACTGATTTTTCAGTTTAGCAACTTTCACAATTTTATATTGCATTTTCCTTCTCTACCTCAGCATTCCTACTAAAGCCTTTATAAGAAAAAGGAAAAAAAAATTCTTACAGAAATAAATGATTCTCTGGTGTGGCTGCTCCTGAAATAAACATTGATATTTTTGTTATTTCAGCAAAAGATTGAGAAGGAAATAAGCAATAAATGTCAGGTACCTTGTTATTGATTTCACATCCTGGTAATCCTAGGTATGGTGTGGCTTTTGCTCCAAGCATACTAATATCCACAGTCAGAAGCTGCCTCTCCTTACCACCACCTTATCTTTATTGTTGTCATTTGTAGCTAATGTTTGGGGTTCTTTCTTCAGTGGTAGCTAATGTTTGGGGTTCTTTCTCCATTTATTTGTATTGTCCTCCTTCCATCACATCTCCCACTTTTCTTACACACATACATCTCCCACTTTTCTTACATATATATATATATATATATATATATATAATGGATTTCAGGGACGAAAGGAGAGGGAGAGAAGGATAGAAACATCAATGATAAGAGAGAATCATTGATCAGCTGCTTCCTGCAGTGTGTTGTCCTCACACTGGGGATCGAGCCCACAACCCAGGCATGTGCCCTGACCGGGAATTGAACTTTGACCTCCTGATTCATAGGCCGATGCTCAGCCACTGAACCACACCGGCCAGGCATATCTCCTGCTTTTCAAAAGCCCTTGAGAGTCAATAAGACATCAGAAACAACACCCACTCCACATGTAATTATATATCTTAAAAAACCTCTCTTTTTTCATATTTACTTTTAGCATGTGTTTTGTGATGGCACAGTGGCATGTAGTATCTCTATATTTGAAAGCCTAAGCGACCGTTAGGACCGGTCGACCGAACGACTGGTTGACCGGTCACTATGACGTGCACTGACCACCAGGGGCCAGATGCTCATTGCAGGAGCTGCCCTCTGGTGGTCAGTATGCTTTCACAACTAACCTGTGTGGCCGGCCAACCTCCCTCGGTCCCTCCCCCTGGCCGGTCGGCCCCCATCGGCCCTGATCAGGACTGGGCGAGACAGCCCTGATGGCCCCGATCAGTGGCCAGGCTGAGGGACCCCACATGTGCACAAATTCGTGCACTGGGCCTCTAGTATGGTTTATAAATGAATGAATATACATCTGTGGGGGGAGTGAGTGCTGTGTTTTTTTTTTTTTTGACTGATCAAGGTTTGGAGACCAGGATCTGCACGTGTAAACTTTCTTCCGGGCAAGAGCCTTTGCTTTCTCCACATGAATATTCATTCCCGAAATGTCCATGCCTGTGCCTATAGTCTCTTGATTGTTGAAACAAAACCAGTTGGTAAAATATGGTGAGAGATTAGATGTCCAGAAGCATAAGCCAGGAGAGGCTCTCTATGGCATATAGAAATCTGCAGAAACACTCCCTGGGGTGCAAAAATAATTAGCAGATGAAAACCAGTGCGTGGAAATACTCACCTCAACCGCTTGGTATTTTCTACCAATTCACGGGGGCCTTCTTCACTAGGATTCGCATTGGTCCTTTTGATTACTCAACCTAAACTGGGCCTCAGGAAACAACAACCTAACTTGTCAGGTAGGGAGAGAGGAAAAGGTTTTGGGAACCAGCCTTCACCTAAAAGAGTTTTATCCTTTAGGCATAGGAAACAAACATTTTGGGAACATTTATATAATTATAAAATTTCTGATTTAGTAGCTGATCCACAAATAAATGGATAATTGGGAGTATCTGACTGGAGACAATAATAAGCATTAGCCCAGCCTGTGTGGCTCAGCGGTTGAACATCGACCTATGAACCAGGAGGTCACAGTTTGATTCCCCGTCAGGGCACATGCCCAGGTTGTGGGCTCAATCCTCAGTGTGGGGTGTGCAGGAGGCAGCCAATCAATGATTCTCTTTCATCACTGATGTTTCTATCTCTCTCATCCTGTTCCTTCTTCTCTGAAAGCAATAAAGATATATTTTAAGAAATAATTAGTATTAATGGAGGATTGACTCTAAATTATAGCTCCTGTAGGTCTCAATATACATAGTTTTCATTGGAAGTCATTTTCTCTGTTGTATTCCTTATTTCTGGTATCCCTATGAAAGGAAGTATAATTTTAGGTACATACTGACAAAGTTTGAATACAAGGTGCTTAGATAAAAGCTATAGTCTGCTTTAGAGATGGAATTGAAGGATACTGTACTTATTGCTTTGACACATGAGTTTTTTTGGCTGATGCACTGAATGGGTATCACTTATATGATATATCACTTTTTAGAGTATATTTTTATTGATTTCAGAGAGGAAGGGAGAGAGAGAGAGAGAGAGAGAGAGAGAGAGAGAGAGAGAGAGAAGAGAAGAGGAGGGGAGGGGAGGGGAGGGGAGGGGAGGGGAGGGGAGGGGAGGGAAGGGAAGGGAAGGGAAGGGAAGGGAAGGGAAGGGAAGGGAAGAGAAGAGAAGAGAAGAGAAAAGAAACAGAGAAACATCAATGATGAGAGAGAATCATTGATCGGCTGCCTCCTGCACGCCCCCTACTGGGGATCGAGCCCACAACCTGGGCATGTGCCCTTGACTGGAATCGAACCTGGGACCCTTCAGTCTGCAGGCCAATGCTCTATCCACTGAGCCAAACCAGCTAGGGCTGATTTATCATTTAAAAAAAAATTTTTTTTATTGATCTCAGAGAAAAAGGGAGAGAGAGAGATAGAAACATCAATGATGAGAGAATCATTTATTGGCTGCCTCCTGCACACCCTCCACTGGGGATCGAGCCTGCAACCTGGACATGTGCCCTTGACCAGAATCAAACCCGGAACCCTTCAGTCTTCAGGCCAACGCTCTATCCACTGAGCCAAACCAGCTAGGGCTATGATTTATCATATAACTTTTTCCTTTGTTCACACAGGTTTCCTCCTGAAGTGCCAAGATCTTTTCCATTCAACACCTCAGTCATATACAAAAAGACTGTCTTTGTAGAGTTCACGGATCACCTTTTCAACACTGCCAAGCCCAGGCCACCATGGATGGGTATGAAAACAGTATTGGTTGTTTATTATAAAACTGGGTATCTACTACCACCTATTGGGGAAACATACTGGGTGAATAGTCACATTTTTTTCTGCTGGGCCCTCCTCCTCTGCTTTTACTGTAGATATTAGAGTGCCAAGGGTCGTGGACCTGCATTTGCTTTATTTTCTTTCTACCTTCAGTCCCTAGGTGATCTTGTTCAGTCTTATAGCTTTAAAATATCATCTCTATGCTAATAATCTTTAAGTTGATATCTTCAGTTCTGACTGCTTGCTTGATACCTTCACTTAGATGTCAAATAAGCATGCAACAAGATGTTAAGATGAAACATTTTCTATCTTAGAATTATTGCTAAAAATTATAGGTGACAAGTATCCCCAAATTCTAAAGAGAGATATCAACCCACCTATTCAGGAATCATTGATTGGCTGCCTCCTGCACGCCCCTTACTGGGGATTGAGCCCGAAACCCTTGCATGTACCCTGACTGGAAATCAACCATGACCTCTTGGTTCATGGGTCAACGCTCAACCATGGAGCCACACCAGCTGGGCTTATTTATTTTTTATGTGCTTAATGTCTCTCAAATGTGATCTCCATGATCTGTCCTGTTCACTATATCTCTGCTGCCTAGGACAGTCTCTAGAATATACTGTAATAGGAACTCAGCTACTATTAGTTAAATGAATGAATGCATTGAATGAATTGCCAGAACTGTGTCCTCAGAACAGTCATAAAGTTGAGCTGGTAATAGCAGTTTCTACATTCATTCATTTGACTACCACTTTTTTAAAAAAATATTTTTTATTGATTTTTTACAGAGAGGAAGGGAGAGGGATAGAGAGTTAGAAACATCGATGAGAGAGAGACATCGACCAGCTGCCTCCTGCACACCCCCCACTGGGGATGTGCCCGCAACCAAGGCACATGCCCTTGACTGGAATCGATCCCGGGACCTTTCAGTCCACAGGCCGACACTCTATCCACTGAGCCAAACCGGTTATGGCTGACTACCACTTTTTATCAGTAACCACAGAGACATGCTTCTCCACTGTGACTCAGACCATAACTTTCATAAAAACAGGTTTTCTGGAGTGCCACCCTCCAAGTGACCTTTGTGGTCCATCTCATTCTTGCAGGTCTGCTGGGTCCTACCATTCGGGCTGAGGTTTCTGACACAGTGGTCATTACACTTAAGAACATGGCTTCTCATGCGGTCAGTCTTCATGCTGTTGGTGTTTCCTACTGGAAAGCATCTGAAGGTGAGTCAAATGTCCTCCTACTGTCCTGTCATCTTGGCGTAGAAGAATATTGAGTATAAGGTCATAAAACTAGTGAATAGTAGAGTTAAGAGGCTAACCTAGGCCTATTTCATGAAGTTAAGAACATTGTCATTTTAGTCTAATCCCCCGAATTTTTATTTGATCCCCTCTTCTCCCATGGGAATCCAAGCCACAGATCCTAAAATTCCCACTTCATCTGCCTTCCTATGCCCAGAAAACTTACTAGAGAGGAACCAAGACTCATGGTATAAAGTTGAAACAGAATTTTCCTTCTCCTTTTTTAGATTCTGACTTTTCAGATATTTTCTCTCCTTCCCCTCCCTCCGTTTCTAAATATGGATGCCACCAGGGGATGAGAGACAACTAGCAGAAGCACAAGCTGACCTCGTTAAAACAAACAACCTGTTTGGCCACAGTCCCCACTTCAACGATCTTCTCCTTAAACTTCACAATGCAGGAAGGGAGTGAAGAGGGTGCCACAATTGACTATGATATTGTCCAGATAGATATAGATCACGAAGATTCAAGAAAATCCTTAATAAATTATTGGAGCACATGCTCTATGTTGTACAGCCTAACTGTGCTTATATGTTGACCAATTTCTCATTCTGAAATTGGAAGACCTTAATTTTCTGGGTTGCACTCATGAGGCCAGGGCTGACCTGGATTGGGGGAAGGAGATAGGACAGGGCAGGTGGTATAGAGGAAAAATCATTCCAAGCTCTGGCTGGAGCTGGGTTGGCTATTTCCATGGGGCTTACCTACTTGGGAGCATTTAAAATAAATCTAGGGGCATTTTAGAGATTGTGCAGTATATAGCACTTGTACCCTAAGCCAGGTGAGGTTTGGGAGAATTGATTATATAATTTTTCACACAAGCATCTACAGTGGTTCTGCTCAGGAACAACACAGTCAGGTGATGGCCTAATGCCCATGTGATTTATAGTCCTATCACGTGCCTTTATATATTTTTTTATTTTAGAAATATTTTTAAATATATATTTTATTGAGTTTTTACAGAGAGGAAGGGAGAGGGATAGAGAGCCAGAAACATCAATGAGAGAGAAACATCAATGGGCTGCCTCCTGCACATCCCCCACTGGGGATGTGCCCACAACCAAGGTACATGCCCTTGACCGGAATCGAACCTGAAACCTTTCAGTCCGCAGTCGATGCTCTATCCACTGAGCCAAACTGGTCAGAACATGCCTTTGTATTTTTACTAGAGGCCCGGTGCACGACATTCTTGCACTGGGGGGGAGGGTCCCTCAGCCCGGCCTGTGCCCTCTCGCAGTCTGTAGGCAGACATCCCCCAAGGGGTCGTTAGTGCTGCCACAGAGGCGGGAGAGGCTCCCTGCCACCACCACTGCACTCGCCAGCCGAGAGTGAACCCGGCTTCTGGCTGAGCGGCACTCCCCCCACCAGGGGGCAGCTCCTGCATTGAACGTCTGTCCCCTGGTGGTCAGTGTGTGTCATAGCAACCAGTCATTCCACCATTTGGTCGATTTGCATATTAGGGTTTTATTATATAGGATGTTATGATCAAGAAGCTCCTGACCTTCTTATACTAGTCTGGGAGTCCACGATTGTCAAGTAAATTTGTGATGATGTTGAATATCATTCTATAAGTTTGTTGACTTTTCTCATATCCTTTTGTAAAGTATCTAATCTAGTATTTAAGTGTTTATCCTGTTGAAAACAAATGAGTTTATTATTTTCTTATTGACTTGTGGAGGTACTTTATATTCAAAAATACAAATCCAATGACATAAATATTTGCATTTCTTCTAGTCTGTGGGTTGAATTTTTACTATCTTAATTTTATTTTCATAAACACATGTTCTTAAAGTTAATGAAGCATAGAAATTCAACAGTTAATGAAACACAAAAATTTATCACATTTTTCTTTTATTTTAGAACTTTGTGTCCTGTTTATTAAGACATTTGCCTATCCCAAAGTCATGAAGATTGTCTTCTATGCTTTCCTCGAGAAGTTTTAGTATTTAACCCTTCACACCATCTCAAATTGATTTTTGTGTATAGCTACCTCATAGCATTTTTAAATAGCTTTATTGAGGTACAAATTAGATACCACAAAATTCACCTCTTTAAGGTAGTTTGATGACTTTTAGTAAATTTAGACAGTTGTGCAGTCATCAACACAATCCAGCTTTAGGACACTTAAAGAAGTTCTCTCTTTCAAGTTCAAGCCCTATTCCCACCCCTAGTCCCAGGCAACCACTGATATGCTTTGTATCTCTATGGCTTTGCATACCTGTCTTTTTTTTATTGATTTCAGAAAGGAAGGGAGAGGAAGAGAGCGATAGAAACCACAATGATGAGAGAGAATCACTGACCAGCTGCCTCCTACACACCCCACAATGGGGATTGAGCCCACAACCCAGGCACGTGCCCTGACCGGGAATCAAACCGTGACCGCCTGGTTCATAGGCTCAACAACTGAGCCACGCTGGCCGAGCTATAGCTCCTGCTTATTAATCTTCCAAATAAAGATGCAGAAAGGCTGTTGCTTGTGTAGAATCTACTGGTGACAATAAACTTGATATGTTTCCCTGAGTGGACAATGGGCATAAAAATGACAATTTTATGCATTCTTGCTTTAGGTGCTCAATATGAGGATCAGACCAGCCAAAGGGAGAAGGAAGATGATAAAGTCATTCCTGGTGACAGTCATACCTATGTCTGGGAGGTCCTGAAGGAGAATGGCCCAATGGCCTCTGACCCACCATGTCTCACCTACTCCTATTTTTCTCATGTGGACCTGGTGAAAGACCTGAATGCAGGTCTCATTGGAACCCTCCTGGTTTGTAGAGAAGGTAAGTGCAAGAAAAGGTAAGATTGAGAGAAAATAAGCAGGGAAATACAACATCTGGGTTTGTCCATAAAAGATAACATTTATGTTCTTTAATCTGAAAGAGGTTCCTTTCCCCTAGCATCATGCCCATGAAAAGGAGCGTAATCTAGTTTCCTATAGAAACAGGTGTTCATCCTATGTTGCCACAATGCACTTTTTGTTTGGTTTTGTTTTTTTGTTATTCCTCACCTGAGGATATTTTTTCCATTGAATTTTAGAGAGAGTGGAAGGGAAGGGGAGAGAGAGACAGAGAAACATCGATGTGAGAGAGACACATTGATTGGTTGCCTCCTACACACGTCCCAACAAGGGCCAGGGATCGAGCCTGCAGCTGAGGTACATGTCCTTGACCGGAATCAAACCCGAAACCTTTCATTCCACAGGCCGATGCTCTATCCACTGAGCCAAATCGGCTAGGGCCCCTACTTGATAATTTTAAAAATAAAATAATTAAAGTGTTTTTCGATAACTTTGCTTGTATTTTAAATTTGTATAGGTGAGTTACTTTCTTTGTCCAACTTTTACTTTCCAAACAGCCAGGGTACAAGAGAGACAAAAGGGGAATATCATAACCAAAAATCTTCCTACTCAAACTAAGGCTTCAAAGAAAACTTTCCCCCAAAATGAAGAAATACAATGCTAAGAAAGACAGCCAACAAATTCAACCATTAACACATGAAGCAAGCTCATTTTTAACATTAACAATTCTAAATATTGGTGTACATGGTGTTCATTTAAAGTGTGACTGAGGTGTTTAATATAGATACTTGTTATTTTGCTCACAACTTTTTTGTTCATTTACAACTGCAGAAGTAAAAATGTTAAACATAATAGAAATTCTCTATGTTAATTGCTTATAGGCACATTTTGTAATTTTTCTTTTTCTCTTATATTTGCTCTGAACACATATGTATATACTATATAAAATATAATTGTATAGGCTTGTATTTTATATATCTTTTAAAATATATATATATATATATTTTAAATCTTTATTTTGAGATTATTACAGGTGTCCCTTTTTTCCCCCCCATTGCCTCCCTCCACCTGGTTCCCGCCCCGTCCCAGGCCTTCACCACCCTATTGTCTGTGTCCATAGGTAATGCATATATGCATATAAGTTCTTTGGTTAATCTCTTCCCACCTCACACTGGGATGGAGCCTGCAACCCCGGGCATGTGCCCTAACCAGGAATCAAACCACAACCTCTTGGTTCATAGGTTGATGCTCAACCACTGAGCTATGCCAGCTGGGCTAGTAATTCATTTTTATTACATTTTACAAAAGTCGTGGTCTGCAACAAATTTGAAATTTGAAAAAAAAAAAGGTTCTTTACCCCAAATAGTTGTTTGTTTGTTTTTAATATGGAACGCTTCACGAATTTGCGTGTCATCCTTGCGCAGGGGCCATGCTATCTTCTCTGTATCGTCCCAATGTTAGTATATGTGCGGCCGAAGCGAGCACCCAAAGAGTTTTAGAAGCATTGGTATAGGAGGCCTCACACCAAAGAAATGATGTTATGGTAAAGTTAACAAGAGACAAAGGACTACATCTGTGCTACTCTCAGGCTGTTGATGAAGCAATGTCTCCTCCTAGTGTCAGTTTGCTGGGAAAGGATTTTCAATAGACAGTGAATGCCCTCGCTTCTTTTGCAGGGAGTCTGGCCAAAGAAAGGACACACGAATTTGTACTACTTTTTGCTGTATTTGATGAAGGTTAGTGAGCTGCAATCTGAATTTTGAACTCCTGAAAGAAAACACATATATTAACTTATTCTGGTACTTGAAATGAGAGCTGCTATTGTCCAGAAGTGATTCTAGAAAGATCATAAACTACTTTACTGTTCAGAAATGAAGGAGGTGGAAATGACAATGAATCCCCACCCCTAAATGCACCCATGGTTTCATTGGCAGCTGAGGTAAGAAGATACAGGAGCTGGGTCACAGGTTAGCCTAATCCCTCATTAAATCCACAAAAAAGGACTTTTTGCTTAAGAAAATTTTAGTAAAAATTGTACATTGCATATATTTAAGGTGATGATTTTACATACATAAAGTGAAATAGTTAACTACAGTCAAGCTAATTTGACATCCATCTTCTCACAGTGACCATTTGCGTGTGGCAAGTGTACGTGAAATCTACTCTCAGCGTATTTCCAGTGTTCAACACACTCTTTTTTTTTCAACACTCTCTTAGTAACTGTGATTATCATGCCTGTGCTTTCTGTCCCCAGAACTTATTCATTTTAAAACTGAAAGTTTGAACCCTTGACTAATATCTCCCCATTTCCCCCATCCCAGCTCTTGGAAACCACCATTCTACTCTCTGCTTCAATGAATATACCTTCTTTTATCTTCACCTCTTAACTTTTATTTATTTACTTATTTATTTTTATTGATTTCAGGGTGTAAGGGAGAAGAAGAGAGATACAGAAACATGAACAATGAGAGAGAATCATTGATCAGCCGCCTCCCACACCCCGGGCATGTTCCCTGACTGGGAATCGATGTTTTCTCTCATCATTGATGTTTCTATCTTTCTCTCCCTCTCCTTCCTTTCTGAAATCAATAAAAAAAAATTTTTTTTAAAAAAGAAGAAGAAATGCTTAAGGTGTGAGCGGTCTTTACCCCATGGGAGAGAGGGAAGAAGAAAAGGAGGGTCAGTCATGAGACAGACACTCAGTTGGGCCTACATTTGCATCCTCTCTCATCAGGAAAAAGTTGGCATTCAGAAACATATGAGTCCTCCACACAGGCTACCAATCCTGCATCTGCTCGGCCCCGGACTGAAATGCACACAATCAATGGCTATGTAAACCGGTCTCTTCCAGGTATGTATACACTCGCTGAAGAATCCTCAGGTTCGCCCTAGCCGGTTTGGCTCAGTGGATAGAGTGTTGGCCTACGGATTGAAGGGTCCCGGGTTCAATTCCAGCCAAGGGCACATGCCCGGGTTTGGGGCTCGATCCCCAGTAGGGGGTGTGCAGAAAGCAGCTGATCAATGATTCTCTCTCATCATTGATGTTTCTATCTCTCTTTCCCTTCCTCTCTGAAATCAATAAATATATATATATTTAAAGATTCAACAAGATCCTTCATTAATAAAGTAATAATAGGATTCTATGAAAAAATAATCAAACACCAATATGCTCACAAAATTAGGACTACAATGGTCAAAATACAAACTCAATAGAAGGTAGGTCAAATAGAAAAAAATCTCTCAGTAAAACAAAAAAGAGATTAAGAATATGTTTAAATATAGATCTTAAAAATTAAAGAAATGTGTTAAGAATAAAAAGATTTGCCCTAACTGATTTGGCTCAGTGGATAGAGCGTCGGCCTGCGGACTGAAGGGTCCCAGGTTCGATTCCAGTCAAGGACATGTACCTTAGTTGCGGGCACATCCCCAGTAGGAGGTGTGCAGGAGGCAGCTGGTCGATGTTTCTCTCTCATCGATGTTTCTAACTCTCTATCCCTCTCCCTTCCTCTCTGTACAAAATCAATAAAATATATTAAAAAAGAATAAAAAGATTTGAGTCTTTGTATTAAAATTTCACAGCAGGATAAATAAATAAATAAGATCCCAACACAAAATTATTATTGTGGAATTCTGAGAACACAGAGACCTGGGAGAAACAGTCACATACAAAGACATGAGAATTAGATTGGCAATATAATGAAGCAGTACTTCAAAGTTCTAAGGTAGAAGTCATTTTCAACCTAGAATTCATAGCCAAACTGTAAATCAGCATTGGGGGAAGAATAAAGACATTTTTAGAAATGGTAGCCTTTAGAAGCCATTCAAGATGTATTAAGTAAAACTGGAATGTAAACCAAGAAAGAGGAAAATGGAAAATTTAGAAACACGAAAATAATAAAGGACGAGGACAGGTATTCCCTTAATTCTTTGCGGTATTTCCAATCATTCTATCATGAATATGCATGATTTTAGAATTAGAAAAGAAATGAACTTTCAAATCATGAAAGTCCCTGCTCTCACATAGCTTATAGCATAATAGGCAGACATGTTGTAATCAAATAATCATAATAATAAATACAAAATTACAAACCAAGAATTCGAAGGAAAATTGCATAATCATATGTGAACATACAATAAAGGAGACTGATCTAGACTGGGGATCAGAGAAGGCTTCCCTAAGGAAGTGCCATTTATATTGAGTGTTGAAACAAGATTGGGAATAGGGAAATGAGGTGATGTGAGATGAGACTGGGGAGGTACAGGGATCCAGCTATTCAGGGATTTCTAGGCCTTCCTAGAGAGTTTGGACTTGATTCTATATGGAATGGGAGTCACTGAAGGGTTTTGGGCTGAAGCATACTACAATCAGCTCTGAAATGCAAACATACCACATAAATTTCCTTGTGAGTGGAAAGCTTGGAAGGGAGTATGACCAGATGTGGGAAGACCTGTAACGAAGCTATTCCAGTGGTTCAGGTAAGAGATAATGGTAGCTAGCTTGGCTTAAGATGGTTGGGGTAGTAATGATAGTGAAAAAAATATATATCTGAAGGCTCTGGGAGCCAAAATAGAAAACAGCTGTGCCCTAGTAGTTAACAGTATGATATCTAAATATTTAGTTGCTTGGGTTCAAATTTGAGCAAGTTAATGAACCTCCCTGGACATGAGTTTCCTCTAAGAGAAGGAGGATGATAGTAATTTCTACATTCATAGGGTTATTGTGAGGAGTGAATGAGTTAAAACTTGGAAAAGACTTTGGACAGTGCTTGAAATAAAAAATGCTCAGTAAATATTAGTGTTATTAATCACATTGTCACAATTGGTGTTAGATTGGATGTAAAAAGTGAGAGTGAAGACTATAATAACTCTCACATAATTGAATGCAGGATGGTACCAATCACTGAAATGAGGCTCTCTGAAAGAAGATGAGGTAATAAAGATCTCAAATTTGATTTTGGACGTGTGGGTTTTATGAAATAATCCAGGTGAAGATAGTGAAAAGGCAGTTGTATGAGTCTGGAGTTATGGGAGAGGTCTGAAACAGGAGAGTTATCAGCATATGGATGATCATTAACACCATGAGAATCGATGTTATTGATCAGGGAGAAAATATTGATCAACAAGAAAATAAGGCCTAAAGCTGAGCACTGAGGTGATCTGTCATCTAATGGGTGAGTAGAGAAGGAGGGATCAGGGAAGGAGACAGAAGAAGCACTTTAAACAACAGGGGAACAAAACCCAGAGAGGTGTTGGCATAGAAGGAGAGAATCACAAGAAGGAATGAATGGTCAACAGGTGCAAATGAAAACTAAAAAATACCCATTGGAATTAGAATTAGCAGCATGACAATCATTCCTGACTCTGGCAAGAGCTGTTGCTTTCACAGTACCCCAGAGTCCTTAGAAAGTTTGGTTCCAAGTCAAGATAATAAACTTTATAAGGTCAATTTGTTCATCCTATTCATTTTTAAATGTTTTCATTGATTTCAGAGAGGAATGATGAGGGGGAGAGAGATAGAAACATCAATGATGAGAGAATCATTGATCAGCTGAGTCCACAACCCAGGCATGTGCCCTGACTGGGAATTGAACTGTGAACCCTTGGTTCATAGGTCGATGCTCAACCACTGAGCCACACCGGCCAGGCTGTCCATCCTATCTTAGAAAATGTTTTCCATTTAAGTTTCTCTACTTCATGACCATAGCTATCTTATTACAACTTTACAGGTCTGATCGGATGTCACAAGAAATTGGTCTATTGGCATGTGATTGGAATGGGCACCGCCCCCGAAGTGCACTCAATTGTCCTTGAAGGTCACACATTTCTTGTGAGGAACCATCGACAGGCCTCCTTGGAGATCTCACCAATAACTTTCCTTACTGCTCAGACACACCTGATGGACCTTGGCCAGTTTCTACTGTTTTGCCATATCTCTTCGCACCAACATGGTAATACTTGTGGATCTTAAAAACTAGTATGATAAGTATCCAGCTCTTATTTTAATTACATTTTCTGTCCACTGTCCAGTATAGGATTATGTTAGACCTCAACTGAGATTCCCTGGTTGCCAGCTTTCAGAGTAAAGGTGTTGCCCTGAGTATAAGAGGGCTTGCGTACTTGTAGTATTGGTGACATTTTAGTTAAATGCCTGTAATAGAGGCAAGGTAGATGGGTTCAGGATAAATGAAGTGGAAAAAGTGAGGAGGACAGTATATTATTGGTTTTCTAGCCTGATCCCATTACCTAGGCCTTGATACTGTGGAGAGATGTCAGGTCATACATAGCTGAAGAGATGTTTTATGAGAAAATGTAGGGCATGCAGGAGACAGCTGATCAATGATTCTCTCTCATCATTGATGTTTCTATTTCTGTCTCTTTCTCCCTCTAGGAAATCAATAAAAATACTTTTTTTTTAAAAAAGAGGGAGGGCCTTGAAGGCCTCATGACAGAGAATGATGTCAGAAGTGAAGGCAAGAAAGTTTTGTAGGAATTTGACATTGTTTTGTTTGTCTGACTCCAGATGGTATGGAAGCTTATGTTAAAGTGGATAGCTGCCCAGAGGAACCCCAACTACGGAAGAAAAATAATCAAGAAGAGGAATATGAGGATGATGATACTTATGACCCTGACATGGATTTTGTCAGGTTTGATGATGATGACCCTTCTTCCTTTATCCAAGCCCGCTCAGTTGCCAAGAAGCATCCTAAAACTTGGGTCCACTATATTGCTGCTGAAGAGGAGGACTGGGACTATGCTCCCTCAGTCCCCTCCCCCAATGACAGGTAAGCACCTTTTGACTCCTGCTACTATCTCTTCCCAATACTCAAAAAGTTCTTCCTAGTTATTCGAAACAATAAATCTTCAAACCACATTTGGGGTAGGTGCAGGTATGATGTCAAATGTCAAGTACATTAATATGTTTGGAAACTAAAAAAGCTAAGCATCAAGGATGTATGAAGGGACCTGGGGAGTGGTATGCTAAGTGAAATAAGCCAGTCAGAGAAAGACAAGTATCACATGATCTCACTCCTACGTGGAATTGAATGAACAAAATAAACTGATGAACAAACTAGATCCAGAGACATAAAAGCATAGAACAGAATGCAGAATCTCAGAGGAAAGGTGGGGGGGGGTAGGTAGGTGGGAAGTGATCAACCAAAGAACTTGTATGCCTATATGCATGACCCATGGACACAGACAGTAGGGTGGTGAAGGCCTGGGACAGGCTGGGGCAGGCTAGAAGGGGTTAATGGGGGAAAGAAGGGGACATGTAATACTTTCAACAATAAAGTTTTAATTTAAAAAAATAGTTAAGCATCAAGGATGCTTGTACTTTTCCCACTCTTTTCCTTGATTAAATCATTCAGCTGTTTTAGAGTTGGATTTTAGCTACCTGTCCTCTCCCTAGAATTCTCCATTTCAACCTCTCATCTTTTTGTTTCTCATACAGCAGTTATAAAAGTCTATATTTGAATAATGGTCCTCAGCGGATTGGTAGAAAGTACAAAAAAGTCCGATTTATGGCATACACAAATGAAACATTTAAAACTCGTGAAGCTATTCAATATGAATCAGGAATCCTGGGACCTTTACTTTATGGAGAAGTTGGAGATACGCTGTTGGTAAGTTGAAGAAAGGCTATAAGGTTGGGTAAGAAGAAAAAGTCTGGAGGGATTTGAGATTCTTAAAACTTCATAATTCAGCCTTATCTCTAATGGGCATTATCTTTTCAAAATCATAAATACTACACAAACAAATGTGTATTATAAATTGGTTTAAAAATATGAGTGTATACAATACAAATTTAATGCCACTCCTTAAACCTGCCACTCCTTTGAAATATTCATTGCTTAGGCTTTGATACATACCCTTCTAAAACTTTTCCCACCAATTATATAGTACAGGAATCAGCAAACTATTGCCTGTGAACCAAATTTGGCTCATAGTCTATTTTTGGGCAGCCTGTAATGAACTACACCATAGTATTTCAATAAAAGAAAAGAAGCACATGATCACATAATAGGTGGAGAAAGGGGTTTGACAAAATCCACTACCCATTCATGATCGGAAAAAAACTCTGAGTGAACTAGCAACAGAAGTCAAGGTCCTTAACTTGAAGAACATCTAAGAAAACTTTGTAATGTGGTGAAAAACTGAATGTTTTCCCCTAGAGATTGGGAACAAGTTAAGATGTCCACTCTTGTCACTTCTATTTAATATTGCTCTGGAAGCCAGTGAAATGAGCCACACACCCACAAAAAGGAATTAGAGGCATTTGGATTGAAAAGGAAGATTATTTGTAAATAACATAATCTTATTTGTAGAAAATCCTGCTAAAAAGCTGTTAGAATAAACAAGTTTAGCAAGGTTGTGAGATACAAAATCAATATTAAAAAAATTATATTTCTGTATATTCTTTTTTTTGTGTGTGTGTGTGTGTTTTTTTTATAGTTCTTTTTTTTTATTTTTTTATTTTTTTATTTTTTGCTATAAGTATTACAAAGGGTATTACATGGACTTGTGCACTGAAAACTACTAATCACTGCTTAGATAATTTAAAGATGTAAATAAATGGAAAGACATATTATGTTCATGGATTGGAAGAATCAATTACTGTGAAGACTCTTCCAAATTTATCTACAGACTAGAGGCCCAGTGCACAACATTCATGCACTTGGGGGGGGGGAGGTCCCTCAGTCCGGGCTGCACTCCCTTGTAATCTGGGAGCCCTCGTTGGATGTCCGACTGACAGCTTAGGCCAGCAGTCGGACATCCTTAGTGCTGCCACCACCCCTGCGCTAGTCAGCCATGAGCCTGGCTCAGGGCTTCTGGCTGAGCGGCACTCCCCCTGTGAGAGTGCACTGACCACCAGGGGGCAGCTCCTGCGTTGAGCGTCTGCCCCTGGTGATCAGTGCGCATCATAGCTACCAGTTGTTCCGCCATTCAGTTGATTTGCATATTAGCCTTTTATTATTAGGATTCAAGTCAATCCCTATCAAAATTCCAACTGCCTTTTTTGCATAAATTGACAGGCTAATCCTAAAATATAGATAGAATTGCAAAGGACCCCCATAGACAAAAGAATCTTGAAAAAAAGAACAAACCCCAATAATGTGGATGTAGAGAAGCTTTTGTTCTCTGGATATAGGCCACACCTTTCTTCTTGATCCTGGTTGTCTTAGGACTTGATCTAGCTCATTTATACTTTCAGATTGTATTTAAGAATCAAGCAAGCCGACCATATAACATCTTCCCTCATGGAATCACTGATGTCAGGCCTTTGCATGAAGGGAGATGGCCAAAAGGTAAGTGTCAACTCAGTTTTATAGTTCTTACTTACCTGTAGGTACAGATGAGGTCACAGTCTCAATAACAACTAAAATTGTGCTGGGCCCGCCCCAGCTGTTATGCACCATATAGGCACATTTATCACCCACAATCCTTTGTGCTACAATTTCCAGATGTATTTCATTTATGTATTTTATAATGCTTACAAGAAAATGCTACAATTGTTGCTTTAAACACACATATGTAGTTTTAGAAAATTATGGGGGTGCCCAACGGCATTGCTCAGTGGTTGAGCATCGACCCATGAACGAGGAGGTCATGGTTCGATTCCTGGTCAGGGCACATGCCCAGGTTGCAGGCTTGGTCCCTAGTGTGGGGCATGCAGGAAGCAGCCAGTCAATGATTCTTATCACTGATGTCTCTGTCTCTGTCTCTCTCTTTCTCTCTGCCTCCCTCCCTCCCTCCTTCCCTCCCTCCTTCCTTCTCCCTTCCTCTCTGAAATCAGTAAAAATATATTTTTAAAAAATTGTTTGAATCTTAAACTTGTAATAGGTGCAAATTTAGTTTCCATTTATTGAAAAACATATGTACATCTAGATGTGTAAAGCTCTTGCAATAGCAACATGATTACCAATGTGTGGCTTGTTATATTCTAATCAAGCTATTCTGGGGTTTGGATGTGGGTAGGTGTGAAACATCTGAAAGATATGCCAATTCTGCCAGGAAATATATTCAAGTACAGATGGACAGTGACTGTAGAAGATGGGCCAACTAAATCAGATCCTCGGTGCCTGACGCGATATTATTCAAGCTTCGTTAATCAAGAGAGAGATCTGGCTTCAGGGCTCATTGGCCCTCTCCTCATCTGCTACAAAGAATCTGTAGATCAAAGAGGAAACCAGGTGAGTTCTTCTCTTTCCAAGTGCTTATTTGAAGCTAAAAATGAAATGATGATGTATAGGAACTTCCACATAAGATTTCCTATACTCCCTCGGTGTATGTCTCCCAGTAGAATGCAGACAGTATAGTCATCTGCGATATTGGCCAGTAAAAGAAATGCGTTGGGTCTCTCACAGGTGTTAATTGATTTTGAGTTTGGTGTAATAATCTTGCCTGCTGGATAAATAGGAGACCTGGGCCCTATTATTTCTCTAATACTCATACCCAGTCTAAAATTCCACTCCTTTTTGGTGATCTTGCCCCTTTTAATATGCTCAATTATCACCTATTTTTATTTTTATTTTTTTAAATATATTTTTATTGATTTCAGAGAGGAAGGGAGAGAGAAATAGAAACATCAGTGATGAGAGAGAATCATTGATTGGCTGCCTCCTGCATGCCCCCTACTGGGGATCAAGCCCGCAACCCGGGCATGTGCCCTTGACCGATATCGAACCTGGGACCCTTCAGTCTGCAGGCCAATGTTCTATCCACGGAGTCAAACCGGCTTAGGGAAATTATCACCTATTTTTTGATGACACACAAATCTTACCATAGCCTAGACTTCTCTAGAGTTCAGTAAATATTTGCTGAGCAAAATACAGGGAAAGATATAATATACTTTAGAATATGACTAGAATTTGGACCACTTCTGCTACTTTAAAAAATAAAGTTTAATTCTCTGAATAAGAAAATTTACTTCAAAAAAACTCATGGCCATATTGCTGAGGCTTGACTATATATCCATTTGGTTATGATACATAAGATTCCTACTAATCTGAAAACACTTCATTGGTTTAGAGACTAAAGCACATGAATTTTAATGCAGCAAAAAACATGTGGCACACAAACCCAGGGAGGCATCAAATTGGTCAAGTACCTGTCTTGACAAATTTTTCCTAATTATCGTTTCTCCACTATTTTGGGGAAGAGGACTAAAATGTATGTCTATATACTTCAATCTCTTCCCCTCAGCATTTTGCTTTGTGTAGCAGTAGATTATGCAAAATAAAATTGATACATATTAGTGAAGTTTACACATTAAATCTTAGAAGATTCAGTTAACAAGTGACTAACTCATAACTTTGGTTCTTATACAAACTGATCTTCTGAACAACACTTAAAATTTTTTCAACAGAAAACTTAAGGTATTAATAATAGTTAACATTTTGCAGTTCATCTGAGCTTTATTATTTGATCTCTGTTTTCTATTTAAAAAAATTTTTTTTGCCCTAACCGGTTTGGCTCAGTGGATAGAGCATTGGCCAGTGGACTGAAGGGTCCTGGGTTCGATTCCGGTCAAGAGCATGTACCTTGGTTTCAGGCTTGATCCCCCATAGGGACTGTGCAGGAGGCAGCTGATCGATGATTCTCTCTCATCGATGTTTCCATCTCTCTATCCTCTCCCTTTCTCTCTCTAAAAAATCAATTAAAATATTTAAAATCTTTTTTTTGTTAATCCTCATTCGAAGATATTTTCCCATTGATTTTTAGAGAGAGTGGAAGGGAGGGGGAGGGGGAGGGACAGAGAGAGAGAGAGAGAAACATTGATTGGTTGCTTCCCTCATGTGCCCCAGCCAGGGCTGGGGAACGAGCCTGCAACTGAAGTACGTGCCCTTGACTGAAATTGAACCTGGGTCCCTTAGTCCGAGGACTGACACCCTATCAACTGAGCCAAACAATGTAGCGCCTATTTTTAATTTTTTTAATAGATTGGTAGCCTTGTGGAAGGGCAATTGCTAGATGGAAATTTAGGAAAGGCATTAATCTTACTTGACGTGACTAACTTATTTAAGAAAGACACTGAATAATCAGTTGGGTCTTTACGAGTAAAACTCCTCTATTCTGAACATGGAAAGAATGAGGCTACAGACTGTACCAAAAAATCAGCCAGCATATGGTCTTGGCTCCAGAATAAATGAAGTTTAATGGGTCCAGTCAACCTCTTGTCCTGAGGATACATTCGCTTTGAACATATGCTTACTGCTGCCCTAGCCGTTTTGGCTCAGTGGATAGAATGTCGGCCTGCGGACCAAAGGGTCCCGGGTTCGATTCCGGTCAAGGGCACGTACCTCAGTTGCAGGCTCCTTCCCAGCCTGGGCCCTGGTCAGGTGCGTGCAGGAGGCAATCAATTGATGTGTTTCTCTCACATTGATATTTCTTTCAGTCTTTCCCTCTCTCTTCCACTCTCTCTAAAAATCAATGGGAAAATATCCTCAAATGAGGATAAACAGACAAACAAACAAACAAACAAAAAACATATACTTCCTATAGCACCCACTCCCACTCCCAGGCTCTGGTCCATGCCATAATAGTGACCTATGGAGAAGTGGAATTGAACCAAAGGATTATAGATATAGCACATGCATGCTATCACTTCTATTGTAGACTGCAAATTCTTACTTGACAATGGTAGTAGTATTTCCTTCTTTCAATGCGTGTAATTAACAGATGATGTCAGACAAGAGAAATGTCATCCTGTTTTCTATATTTGATGAGAACCGAAGCTGGTACCTCACAGAGAATATGCAGCGCTTCCTCCCCAATGCAGATGCAGTGCAGCCCCAGGATCCAGACTTCCAGGTTTCCAACATCATGCACAGTAAGTAAAGCAGCACCCGTCTAATGAGTAATAGACAAAGGGAAATTGAAGCCAAATTGATGTCCATATAGTGGATTGCTTTATCTGCCATGCAAGTCATAGTTCCTTAAAAATCATTATATACAAACATATACAATTTCATATAAATGCATATGATCATAAAACATATTTTTTATTTAGGAAGCAACAAATATTCAGCAAACTTTTTTAAAGTTTTAAAAATATTTTTATTGATTTCAGAAAGGAAGGAGAGGGAGAGAGAGGTAGAAACGTCAATGATGAGAAACGTCAATTGATTAGCTGCCTCCTACATGCCCCACACTGGGGAATGTGCCCTGATTGGAATCAAACCATGACCTCCTGGTTCATAGGTCGATGCTCAACTACTGAGCCACACCGGCCGGGCTGTCCTGCTTTTTTGAAACCTGTTAGTCCTTGAATCTGGAACATTAACAGATATTCATTTGGTTCACCTGATCAAATTTGTTTTTCTTTCTGATTTTTCCTCTGTCTGGTTACTCCTTTCCCCCTTGCAACTATAAGCAGTTTGGAGGGAGACACTTTGAGACCATGCAAATGCCCTGCTCCCCACCCACACCCCCATATAGCACTCAAAGCCATCTCTACCACGATGGTCTATGACTCCCCTGCCCTTGGGATTAGGACCTAGCTGACCAAGTATTAACAATCGACTTTTCTGGAAGGTATAATGCTATCGCTTCTTGGACATAACCATCATTTCTAATCCTATCGCGACAATTCAAACTAGTAAACCCTGATACTGCTAAAACCTCTTGTTCTCCATTTCTTTTGCAGGCATCAATGGTTATGTTTTTGATAGTTTGCAGCTGTCGATTTGCTTGCATGAGGTGGCTTACTGGTACATTCTAAGTGTTGGAGCACAGACTGACTTCCTTTCTGTCTTCTTCTCTGGATATACCTTCAAACACAAAACAGTCTTCGAAGACACACTTACCCTATTCCCGATGTCCGGAGAAACTGTCTTCATGTCAATGGAAAACCCAGGTTAGTTATTTACATTATTCTTTTTTTTAAATATATTTCATTGATTTTTTTACAGAGAGGAAGGGGGGAGGGACAGAGAGTTAGAAACATCGATGAGAGAGAAATATCAATCACCTGCCTCCTGCACACCCTCCACTGGGGATGTGCCCGAAGCCAAGGTACATGCCCTTGACTGGAATCGAATCCGGGGCCCTTCAGTCCACAGGCCGACACTCCATCCACTGAGCCAAACCGGTTAGGGCTACATTATTCTTTTAGTAACAGCTGTGATTGCACCACTAGCCACTCATATGCTTTTTGGTTCACTGGCCCACATTTGGGCAGATATTAAGTGGTTCAAGTGATTTGGGGTAATTGAAAGGTATTTTAATGACAGCACCACATTAAGTTACTTAAAAGTCTTTGCTCTAAAAACTACCTTTGGCCCAGCTGGTGTGGCTCAGTGGTTGAGCATTGACCTATGAACCAGGAGGTCACGGTTTGATTCTTGGTCAGGGCACATGCCCAGGTTGTGGGCTTGATCCTCAGTAGGGGGTGTGCAGGAGGCTGCTGATCAATGATTCTCTCTCATCATTGATGTTTCTCTCTCCCTCTCTCTTCCTCTCTGAAATCAATAAAAAGCATATTTATATCATGTTTTGTAACTTTTTTTTCCACTGAATATATTTGATACTTTTCTATGCCAGTAAATATATATGAACATCATCATTATAAAAGATTGCTTAATATTCCATACTAGGATATTGTACTAGCCTTGGCTGATTGAAGAGCTCTTATCTTTTGAAGCCTGAAATGTGCTCCTACCCGCTTGTGGTAGGCTAGGCTCTGTCTCTCTGGGTTACTTTGATAGGAACAAGTTCCAGGATGGATAACAGCTTACAAAATTAGCTTACTGAATCCCTGGTTATATTACTGAGGCACAAGGCTGATCTATATATTTGTAGTGCTGATCAAGTCTCAAACTTGCCCAGGCATTTTATGCCTGTGCCAGAAGTTAGAGGAGGATGGCAGCTGAATTTTCTTCAAGGAAATTATACTCCTTTTGTGCATCAGTGATTATATCTCCTTTTTTATTTCAAATTTTTTATATATGGAATTTCTTATTTTTATTTGGTGATTTATTTTATTGAGTTTTTCATTACAAAAATCAACTCTTCTTTAGGCTGTTGGATTGAGATTTATTAACTAACTAGAGGCCCAGTGGTAGGGTCCTGCACTGGTAGGGTCCCTAGTGGCTGCCAGCTGCTGGCCAGGGCCTCCCTCCCTTCTCCTGGCCAGCCCCGCCCCCTGGTCGAACTCCTGGGCGAACTCCTGGTCGAGGGGACAATTTGCATACTATGCTTTTATTATATAGGTTGATGTGTTAAATTTATTTTTATTCATATATGTATTTTTTCACTTATGCTTATGCATCTACTTTACTACCATGAAATCCCTTCATTGGATAAACCTGGCCACAGTAGAAATTAATATTGCTAAAATTGTGGTGGGATTTGTATGTGTATTCTAATCCTAAGTCCTACTCCCTTGTGCTTATTTACTCTGCAAATTGGTGATGCTATGGATGCTAGGCATTGTGTTATATGATTAGAATGCATTATATGATGGGCTAGATACTATTAGCCTCATTTATAAACTGGAAAACTAGAACTCAGAGAGCTCAGTTTACTTGCTCTAAGTCACATAGCTGGTAAATTGTAGGGCTAGGATTTGAATCCAGGCAATCTGACTCTAGAACCTGTGCCACTATGTTATATAGCAATAACAGTTAGCCTATATAACCTTTCCTGAGTTAAGGCACTGTCATCATTAGAGCTCTGTGTGACTATTAAGACTCTCCAGCCCTAACTGGTTTGGCTCACTGGTTTGGCTCAGTGGATAGAGCATTGGAAGGGTCCCAGGTTCAATTCCAGTCAAGGGCATGTACCTTGGTTGCGGTTGCGGGCACATCCCCAGTATGAGGAGGCAGCTGATCGATGTTTCTAACTTTCTATTCCTCTCCCTTCCTCTCTGTAGAAAATCAATAAAATATATTTAAAAAAAAAAAAAGAAAACACAAAAAAAGACTCTCCACTATTATGCATGCTAATTACATTTCTCCATTTTTATTCCAACATCTATTCGCTTTTAATCACAACCCTTTCTTATGGTCACAAACAGATATACCACAACAGCAGCCATGCAAATCTCACTTTTGCTACCATTGCTAAACTACTGTTACAGGTTTAGAATACACATACCAATTACCTATAATGGTACCAACTAGAATTTTTTCATTCTTCTGGGAATAGGAGATACCCTCTAACACAAAACTAGCTTGGTACCTAGGTTATGAGTAACCAGAGTCTTATTCTTTCTCATCTCCAGGTCTGTGGGTTCTGGGGTGCCACAACTCAGACTTTCGGAACAGAGGCATGACAGCCTTACTGAAGGTTTCTAATTGTAACAACAGAAACACTGGTGATTATTACGGGGATCGATATGAAGACATTCCAACTTCCTTGCTGGATGAAAATTATGTCATTGGACCCAGAAGCTTCTCCCGGAATTCAAGGCACCCCAGCACTAGGCAAAATCAATTTAGAGGCACTGCAACTCCAGAAAATGATATGGAGAAGATTGAGCTTTGGTCTGGAGAGAGAACACCACTGCATGAAGTACAAAGTGTTTCCTCTGATGATTTGTTGATGCTCTTGGGACAGAACCCTACTCCACATGGATTATCCTTATCTGATCTCCAAGAAGCCACATACGAGGCTGATGATCATTTACCTGGACCAATAGAAAGAAACAAAGGCCTATCTGAAATGGCACATCTCAGGCCAGAGCTCCATAACAGTAGGGACAGAGTATTTACTCCTGAGCCAGAACTACAATTAAGATTAAACGAGAATTTGGGGTCAACTATAAAAGTAGACTCAGAGAAACTTGATTTAACAATTTCTAATTTATCAAGCAATCTAATGACTTTACCAACAATTCCGTCAGAAGAGTTGACAGCAGGTACTGAAAAGACAGGTTCCTTAGGACCCACAAATATGCCAGTTCACTTTAGTAATCAATTAGGCACCATTGTATTGGACAAAAATGCATCTCTCCTTATTGGGTCTGGTGTGCCTTTGGACTTAAGTAAGGGAGATAATGATTCCAAGTTGTTAGAAGCAGCTTTAATGAATAGTCAAGAAAGTTCACTAGGAGAACATATATCATCAATGGAGAGTGATAGGTTATTTAAAGAGGAAAGAGTCCATGAACCTACCTCACTGACCAAAGATAATTCTTCATTTAAAATTAATGTCTCTTTAGTAAAGACAAACAAGGCACCAGTTAACTCAACAATGAATAGAAAGACTCACATTGATGGCCCAACATTATTAATTGAGAATAGTACATCAGTCTGGCAAGATATTACATTAAAAAGTAATGATGAGGTTCAAGAAGTGACTTCTTTGATTCCTGATGAAACGCTCATGGACAAAAATACTGCAGCTTTGGGGCTAAATTATGTGTCAAATAAAACTACTTCACCAAAAAGTATGGAAATGGACCACCATAAAAAAGAGGGCTCTGTTCCAGTAGGTGCAGAAAATCCAGATACATCCATCTTGCCAGATTCAGCAAATTGGATGAAAAAGACCCATGACAATAACACTCTAAGCTCTGGACAGAGGCCTGATCCAAAGCAATTGATACCTTTAGGATCAGAAAAACCTGTGAACGGTCAGAATTTCTTGTCAGAGAAGAATAAAGTGGTAGTAGAAGAGGATGAGTTTACAAAGAACCAGGGACTCAAAGAGATGATTTCTCCAAACAGTAAAGGCATATTTTTTACTAACTTGACTAATAGCCAAGAAAACGATACACACAATCAAGCGAAACTATCCCAGGAAGAGAGAGGAATGAAGGAAGAATTAATCCAAGAGAACGTAGTTTTGCCTCACGTGTATACAGTGAATGGCACTAAAAATTTGCTGAAGGACCTTTTCTTATTAAGCACTAAGCAAAATGTAGACGGTTTAAATGAGGGCACATATACTCCAATACTTCAAGGCCCCAGGTCATTAAATGATTCAGCAACTAGAGCAGGGATTCACATGACCCATTTCTCAAAAATAAGGGAGGAAGCAAACTTGGAAGGCTTGGGAAATCAAACAAAACAAGTGACAGAGAAGTATCCAAGTCCTAATCCAAGTCCACAGAATGTTATTGCTCAGCGTGGTAAGCGGGATTTAAAACAATTTAGACTCCCAACAGAAGAAATAAAGCTTCAAGGGGGTGTAATTTTGAATGACGCCTCAACCCAGTGGTCCAAAAACATGAAATATTTGACCCAGGACGCCCTCACACAGATAGAGTACCATGAGAAGAAGAAAAGGGCCATTACTCAGTCCCTCTTACCAGATTTTTCTATGAGAAGTCATGGCATCAATCAAACAGACGGCTCTGCATTACCCGTTGTAAAGGCATCAGCATTTCCATCAATTAGACCTACAGATGTGACCAAGATCCCACCCCAAGACAACCCTTCTCATCTAGCACCAGCCTATAGTTCTACCTTTAGGGAAAGGAGTTCTGGAGTCCAAGAAAGCAGTCCTTTCTTACAAGGAGACAAAAGAAATCTCTCTTTAGCCTTCCTAATGGAAATGATGAGAGGTCAAGAAAATATTAGCTCTCTGGGAGAAAGTGCTACAAACTCACTCATATACAAGAAACCTGAGGATCCTGTTCTCTTGAAACCAGGCTTGTCTGAAGCATCTGGCAAAGTGGAATCACTTCCTGAAGTTCATATTTATCAGGTAGACTCTTTGCCTACGAAAACTGGCAATGGTTCTTCTGGCCACGGGGATCTGGTAGAAGAGATCTTCCTTCAGAAAACACAGGACGCTGTTAAATTGAACAAAGTAAATGGACCTGGAAAAATGGCTTTTCCGAAACGGGCAGCCGAAAGCTCTGAAAAGACTCCCTCCAAGCTGCTAGACCTCTTTGCCTGGGATAATCAATATGCTACCCAGATACCAAGAGAAGAGTGGAAATCCCAAGAGAAGTCACAACAAAACATAACTGTTAAGACAAAAGACACCATTTCACCCCTAGACCCTTACGAAAACAATCATTCAATAGCAGCAATAAACGAAAGACAAGATAAGCCCCAAAGTGAGGCCACCCGGGCAAAACAAGGTGGGACTGGAAGATTGGGGCTTCAGAATCCACCCGTCTTGAAACACCTTCAAAGGGAAATAACCCCTACTCCTCTTCAGCCAGAGGAACATGACATTGACTATGATGATACCTTCTCAATGGAAACGAAGACAGAGGATTTTGACATATATGGTGAGAATGAAAGTCAGGACCCTCGCAGCTTTCAAAAGAAGACACGACACTATTTTATTGCTGCAGTGGAGCAGCTCTGGGATTATGGATTGAGCAAATCCCCCCATGCACCAAGAAACCATGCAATCGGGTACGTTGATTATTCCTTGGTCCTGCTATGGTGACCTTTGATTTTACCAAATACTGAAACAATAGGAAAGGGACAGCCAATCTGCAGCAGTGTAACTCCAGATGGCTTTATAGAAGACCCCTGAGAACCAGATGGCAACGTCTAGAATTCAGCGGTTCTCAACCTGTGGGTCGCGACCCCTTTGGCGGTCAAACGACCCTTTCACAGGGGTCGCCTTAAGACCATCGGAAAACAAATATATAATTACATATTATTTTGTGATTAATCACTATGCTTTAATTATGTTCAATTTGTAACAATGAAAATACATCCTACATATCAGATATTTACATTACAATTCAATTCATAACAGTAGCAAAATTACAGTTATGAAGTAGCAACGAAAATAATTTTATGGTTGGGGGTCACCACAAATGAAGAACTGTATTAAAAGGTCGCGGCATTAGGAAGGTTGAGAACCACTGGTCTAGATGAAGCTGAGGAGTAAATGGGAGGTTAGATGAGCCCAACAATGAAAGTTAGAGGATGGTAAATCCAGATGGCATGAAACTCATACTCTGGTGGGATGGAAGAGAAGGAGAGGGGCTTACAGAAGGGTAGAAGTGTCAGAGTCAAGAGGCAGCAATGGAGAGTAGGAAGAAAGTCAACTTTATCAGCCTTATGAGCTGCCATAATAGTCATAGTGTCATGAGAGAGCCCTGAAGAGGCAGGAGGAGGAAGTGAAGTGTGTGACAAAAAAGTTGAGGATGTAGGAAAAGTTTTTCATGGTGCTTGGGGTACAGAGGGCAAAGTTGGGGGAACAGAAGGAGGTTGGGCAGGGGAGAGAAAACAGAGAAATTTGGAAGGTAAACATAAGAGTTTATTGCAGTCATCAAATATTTATTGAGCACCTACTACATGGCAGACAATTTTGTAGGCATGAGTGCAGCAAAGTAGGAGCTCACATTCTATTGGGGAGGGCAAAAGATAATAAATTAATAGAAAAATAAATGGGGGGTCTTGATGATGCTATTCAGAAGATAGAATGAATAATATGATGGAGTAACACTGGGGTGTGACTTTAGCTGTGGTGGTCAGAGAAATCCTTTATGGAGTTGAGACCTAAATGATGATAGACCAGCTCTAAGAGATGTGTCCACGCAAAGGGAACAGGAAGTGCAGAAGCCCTGAAACTGGGACATCCTTGTCCAGCCAGTATGGCTCAGTGGTTGAGCATTGATCTAGGAACCAGGAGTCACAGTTCAATTCCCGGTTAGGGCACATGCCTAGGTTGCAGGCTCCATCCCCTGTGGGGAGTGTGTGGGGGTAGCCGGTCAATGATTCTCTCTCATCATTGATGTTTCTATCTCTCTCTCCCTCTCTTTTCCTCTCTGAAATCAATAAATATATTTTTTTAAAGGAAAAAAAAAAGAAGGTGAGGTGTTTCTACATACCTGGTCCATAAATATATTGCTTTTCCTCTGTTTTTGTCTTCAGAGCTCAGTTCAAGAAGGTGGTTTTCCAGGAATTTACTGATGGCTCCTTTACTCAGCCCTTATACCGTGGAGAACTGAATGAACACTTGGGACTCCTGGGGCCATGTATAAGAGCAGAAGTCGAAGACAATATCAGGGTGAGTTGAGGACAATGGAATCACAAGAAAATGAATCCTGTGTATTTTTTGTCTCTGAGTATAAAAATAATGTATTATCATTTTTTAAAAATATAGAAAATAAAGAAGTTGAAAAATAATCTCATAAATATCTTTTTGGTTTATGTTCTTTTTTCCTATGTATTCTTCTATTTATGTATTCAAAATTACACAATGTATAATTCTACTTCTATTTTGATTAAATATATCATAAACATTTCTAATGTCATTTAAAAATACTTCCTAAGCAGCATGGATGGAACTGGAGAGCATTATGCTAAGTGAAACAAGCCAGTCAATGAAGGAAAAATACCACATGATCTCACTCATTCATGGATAATAAAGACCATTACAAACTTTTGAACAATAATAGATACAGAGGCAGAGCTGCCTCAAACTGATTGTCAAACTGCAGTGGGAAGGCCAGGGAGGGTTGGGGGACAGGAGGGAGGGGAGTAAGAGATCAACCGAAGGACTTGTATGCATCCATATAAGCATAACTAATGGACATAAGACACTGGGGGGTAAGGGAGGGCAGGGGTTTGTCAAGGGCGGGGGGGAAAAAGGACACTTATGTAATACCCTTTGTAATACTTTTAGCAAAAAATAAAAATAAATAAAAATAAATAAAATAAACAAAAAAAATAAAAATACTTCCTAAGTATATTTTTAAAGTGATTGCATAATAGTCTATTACATGAATTTATGGTTTACTTAACCATGTACTTTGAATAACCCTATAATAGGTTTTTTTCACTATTTAAATAATGCTGCAATCACAACTTTTCCTAGGATAAAATCCTAAAAGTGAAATGTATTTGAACAGTTTAAGACTTTCTGTAACGAATGATCTCTTAATGTTGTTTGCACATTTGACAAATTCGGAGGCAGTGCTTTTCTTATTAATTTATATTACCTCATATATTATAGATCATTGATCATTTTAGTGAATAGTATTTTTCCAAGTTTGTTGTCTCTTAATTTTATATATAGTGGTTTTTTCATTAAAAACAGGAAGTAACCTATAATCCAGTGGTTCTCAACCTTCCTAATGCCGCAACCCTTTAATACAGTTCCTCATGTTGTGGTGACCCCCAACCATAAAATTATTTTCGTTGCTACTTCATAACTGTAATTTTGCTACTGTTATGAATTGTCATGTAAATATCTGATATGCAGGATGTATTTTCATTGTTACAAATTGAACATAATTAAAGCATAGTGATTAATCACAAAAACAATATGTAATTATATATGTGTTTTCTGATGGTCTTAGGCGACCCCTGTGAAAGGGTCGTTCGACCCCCAAAGGGGTCGCGACCCACAGGTTGGCGACCCACAGGTTGAGACCACTGCTATAATCTTTTCTTTATGCCACTTTCATAGCTTTCATGTTTATAAAATTCCTTCCCCATACAGAGACTTTTTTTTAAAATCACCTATTCTTGAACTTTCTTTTACAATTTAATTTCTTAAAAATTAACTTTTTAATTCATCAAAATTTCTATAGACAAAGTTATTTTGGTGCATTGTGGGAGCCAAAGGTCAAATTAGTTTTATTTTTTCCCCAAAATAGTCAATCATTGTCCCAATTGATGGTTTACATTAAGGATATAGAAGGATATAAAATTATGGGATGCTGCCTTGATTTGTATTTTACTTTTCATATGTCCTATGAAACATATCATTTTTTTCAAATCTGAAAACGGGGCTTTTAAAAAGATTATGTGCATTCATTCTGAAATTTGTCATGAAGAACCTTAAGTACCAAGTCATGAGATTATGGTCTCTTTAGGAATTTCCTCTATAGATCTTTAGGTTTGGGTTCTTACAATAGCCATCCTATACCACTTTCTCTGGGTATTAAAACTTGGACAGAGCCAAAATAGGCATTACGATTAGGAACGTAAACGCTAAAATACTTGCATTCTTTTTCTGTTTTGCTCTGCAGGTAACTTTCAAAAACCAGGCCTCTCGTCCCTACTCCTTCTACTCCAGCCTTATTTCGTATGAGGAAGATCAGAGGCAAGGAACAGAGCCTAGAAAAAAGTTTGTGGAGCCCAATGAAACCAGAATTTACTTTTGGAAAGTGCAACATCAGATGGCGCCCACTGCCGATGAGTTTGACTGCAAAGCCTGGGCTTATTTTTCTGATGTTGATCTGGTAAGCAGGTCTACACTGTGCTGGCCACTTTCTGGTTTAAAAGAAATGGTCTTTGCAATATCTGCTAAGAATTTGGGTATTTATCCTAAGTATAATGGAAGGTTTTAAATAGGGAGAGGTAGCCCTAGCTGGTTTGGCTCAGTGGATAGAGCGTCAGCCTGTGGACTGAAGGGTCCCAGGTTCGATTCCAGTCAAGGGCATGTACCTTGGTTGTGGGCACATCCCCAGTAGGGGGTGTGCAGGTACTGGGGATGTGCAGGAGGCAGCTGATCGGTGTTTCTCCCTCATCGATGTTTCTAACTCTCTATTCCTCTCCCTTCCTCTCTGTAAAAAATCAATAAAATATATTTTAAAAAAAATAGGGAGAGGTAGCCCGACCGGTGTGTCTCAATGGGTGACGTCACTCATGACCAGGAGGTCCACCGGTTCAGTTCCCAGTCAGGGGCACATGCCTGGTTGCAGGCTCAATCCCTAGTGTGGGGCCTGCAGCAGGCAGCTGATCCATGATTCTCTCTCATCATTGATGTTTCTCTCTGTCTCCCTCTCCCTCCCTCCCATCGTCTCCATCTCCCGTCCTCTCTCTAAAATCAACAAAGACATATTAAATGTTTTAAAATGTATTTTTATTGATTTCAGAGAGGAAGGAAGAGGGAGGGAGAGAGAGAAACATCAATGATGAGAGAGAATCATGGATTGGCTGCCTCCTGCACACCGCCCACTGGGGACCGAGCCCACAACCAGGGCATGTGCCCTGACCGGGAACTGAACTGTGACCTTCCAGTTCATAGATCGACGCTCAACCACTGAGCCACGCCAGCCAGGCTTAAGTTTTTTTTTAAATAAAAAATAAATAAGAGGAGATAGCATCATATTTGTGTTTTAGAAATACTGTTCTGGAATCTACTGAGGAGGATGAATCGTACTGTGAGAAGATGGGGAGTAGATTGGAGTGGCATAAAAGTTGATGAGAAACCTACGCTGGTTTAGAGGTGGGGGAGCTTATACTCACAGGATTGGTGTCTTCCCTCTCAGGAGAAAGATATGCATTCGGGCTTGATTGGACCGCTTCTGATCTGCCGCGCCAACACTCTGAACCCTGCTCATGGGAGACAAGTGACAGTGCGGGAATTTGCTCTGTTTTTCACTATTTTTGATGAGACCAAGAGCTGGTACTTCACTGAAAACATGGAAAGGAACTGCAGAGCTCCCTGCGATATCCGGATGGAGGACCCTGCTTTTAAAGAAAAGTATCGCTTCCGTGGTAATGTATCCCACGCCCAAATATATCCCACGCTCGCTGTGAAAAGCAGCATGCACTGTGACGAAGGAGCCTCGAGCCTGAGGCTTGGACACTGAATGAATTGAGAGTGTGTGTATGGGAGTGGAACCTTCAAAGAATCAATATTTTTGACTGGGGTGGAGGACAAGAAACTTCTAGCTTGGCCGGCGTGGCTCAGCGGTTGAGTGTCAACCTATGAACCAGGAGGTCATGGTTCAACTCCCAGCGTGCAGGAGGCAGCCCCATCAATGATTCCCTCTCATCATCGATGCTTCTATCTCTCTCTGTCCCTCTCCCTTCCTCTCTGCAATCAATAAAACATACTTTTTTTAAAAAAAAAAGAAACTTTAATAGATTTTAACAGCCTTCTCTGTTCTCCTTCTCCAGCGATCAATGGCTATGTGATGGATACTCTACCTGGCTTAGTAATGGCTCAGGATCAAAGGATCCGATGGTATCTGCTCAGCATGGGCAGCAATGAAAACATCCATTCTATTCATTTCAGTGGACACGTCTTCACTGTAAGGAAAAAAAAGGAGTACAAAATGGCAGTCTACAACCTCTATCCAGGTATGGGCTGGTTTCTCTTTCTTCTACCTTCTGTACTTATTGTATACTAGAGGCCCAGTGCACGAAATTTGTACAAGGGGCTCGGCCCTCACAGCCCCAGCTTCATCTGGAAGGTCATCTGGAAGGATGTCCGGAAGGTTGTTTGGCTGTCTGGTCTAATTAGCATTTTACGCTTTTATTATTATAGATTTACTTGAAATGGTCTAGGCACTGGGGATATGATCAGTGAAAAAAGCAGGCAAACTTCCTGTTCATGGATAACTTACTTTTTCAAGTAACTTTACCCTACAGAAAGATAATAAATAAGTTCGTAAGTGAATATGATAATTTCAGATACAGATAATGTGCTATAAAGGAAATAGAATAGAATAAATGGATAGTTAATGGCATAGCACTGTCCTAGGAAAAGAGGGATTTTTTTCCATCTCAAATCCCACATGGCACCAGTAGTTATCCAAGAAGTGACTTGTTTATGTCTGTTACCAATATGTTAACTACTAGTTACAATGTTGATCAAAGCACAACTTCATGTTAGTTCTCCACTGTCCCTTTAAAACAGGTTTAATAGTAGGAATAAACTTGCCCCATTTTTGCATAAAACTTCTGATAGGACCAGTGACTTTTCTGCTTCACTCTTATCTTTTTTTATGTATGTTTAATTGAGTTTTTTATTTTATTTTAGAGAGAGAGAGAGGAAGGGAGAGGGGAGATATAGAAACATTAATGATTGATAAACATTGATCAGCTGCTTCCTGCACACTCCCTACTGGGGATCAAGCCCACAACCTGGGTGGGCATATATCCTAACCAGGAATCGAACTAATGATCTCTTGGTGCATGAGATTGCGCTCAATCCACTGAGCCACACTGGCCTGGGCACTCATCCTATACAGTAGGTCCTTGAGTTACCTCAGAGATCCATTCCTATGGCTCGACGTAACGTGATTTTCGCCATAAGTCAGAACCCACCTACATAAGCACCTACGTCACTCACATGGAGCACATACACAGCAGTAATGAAGTGAAACAGTAAAAAAAATTTAAAAGAAAGATAACAATTCCTGACCTTTACTTGTGGTAAATAAATAATAAAAAACATAAAGAACATATGTACATACATCGAAATGACGAACTTTTTTTTAAATAAATAAATGGGAGATGGCGACGTAACCACGAAACGACATACGTCGAGTCCGATGTAACCCGAGGACTGCCTATAATAAAAGGCTAATATGCAAGTCGATCAAATGGCAGAAAGACTGGTGCTATGATGTGCACTGACCACCATGGGGCAGACGTTCAACGCAGAAGCTGCCCCCTAGTGGTCAGTGCGCTCCCACAAGGGGAGTGCCACTCAACCAGAAGCCGGGCTCACTGTCAGTGAGTGCAGAAGCCTCTCCCGCCTCCACAGCAGCACTGAGGATATCTGACTGCCAGAGAGAGAGGAACATCAATGATGAGAGAGAAACATCCATCAGCTGCCTCCTGCATGCCCCACACTGGGGATGGAGCCCACAACCCGGGCACGTGTCCTGATTGGGAATCGAACCCTGACCTCCTGCTTCATAGGTCGACGCTCAACCACTGAACCACACCAGCTGGGCTACCTGGAAGATATTTAAAACTGACTCTTCTTGCTGGGGACTTCCAGGGGGCTCTTCTGGGGACCCTCTTTCATGAAATCCCCTTGACCTGGTTGATTGCTCACTCATTCCTCAGGCCCTCAGCATGCACTTCCAGCTCTCTGCTGATGGGATTACTTTAGCCCTCAAGGCAGCTCCAGTGGGTTACATCTGGGAGGACCTCCCTGATTTTTCTCTCCCAGGGAGCCCGCATCTGGTCAATGACAAACACACCTGTGGCTCTGAAAACCCCCGAGTACAGGCCTATGCAGTAGCTTCCTCCCGTCTCTACCATCCAAGCATTCTGTTGCCCTCCCTCCCCTTTCCCAGGGTGGGAGGCTGTCAGAACTCAGTCTCCAGGCCCTGGCCGACTAGCTCAGTTGGTTAGAGCATCATCCCGTTACACCAAGGTTTTGGGGTTCAATCCCTGGTCAGGCCACATAGAAGAATCAACCAATGAATGCATAAATAAGTGGAACAACAAGTTCTCTCTCTCTCTCTCTCTCTCTCTCTCATAAATAAATGTTGTTTTTTTAAAAAAAAGGACTCAATCTCCAGTGCCCCCAAATAGGGGTCCGATAGCAAGCACTTTGGGTTTCAGGATCCATCGGTGGTGGGATTGACTTAGGTAGATCTCTGTTGATATTCTGCATAAGCCAATGTATCTCATGCTCATTTTTTAGTGAAAAAAAATGTTTTTGTTCCTTTTGTTTTTTATAAGGGGTTTTTGAGACAGTGGAAATGCTACCATCCAAAGCTGGAATTTGGCGGATAGAATGCCTTATTGGCGAACACCTGCAAGCTGGGATGAGCACTCTTTTCCTGGTGTACAACAAGCGTGAGTAGCAAGCCTGTGAATTTTGGTATCTGCAGGAGGTCCTGTAACCAATCCCCTACAGATACCGACAGACAACTGTATGTATTTAGAGTGACTAACTGAATATGCATTTTTAAAATTATAAATAATGGTAATATTATGTGTAGTGTGATGTACATATGTTTAATGTATATTAGCCAGATCAATGCCATATTCACTTCTATATTTAGTCTTGAGTGGGTAAAGGGAATTTCCATCTTTTTCTGATCCACAAATTATTGTTAACCTGAAGTAAGTTATTCTAGAAAAGAAAATATCCTTTACACCTTTGCACAGGAGACCCTATTATAATTGTAAATTCTGAATTCAAATGGATTAAAAATTTCTTTATTGAAGGAAAAAAAAGAGTGAGTAGCGATATGGGCAAAGGCACGCTGCCTACTCAGCCTACATTTATACACCTTTTCTCCTTCCTAGAGTGGTTGCCTTTGTCAATTAGTAAATACAAGCTCACAGTCATTAGGGAATCTGAAATGAATATTGCTGGTAGAAATTATGAGTCTTCAGAGGAGGGTGGTTATGCTTGAAGCTTTGAACACTTTGAACTTGAAGCACTAAATACAGGGTGGGGCAAAAGTAGGTTTTAAAGTTGTGAGTATGTGAAATACAGAGTTTATTTTCCTATTACTATTTATTAATTATTGTATTATTTTCCATATGAGCATCTGTAAGCCTACTTTTGATGCCCTGCTAAAAAAACTCTCTCTTCATTTTCACAACTTTGTGAAGCTCCAAGATCGCCAAGAGCAAATTTTGAGACCTAACTTTGGTCTGATTACTGAAGATAACTACAAATATTGCTTGGAAGAGCTTGATATTTAATCTTAAATAAGAAAGCCACTGGTCTACTTATGTATAGACCCTAGTTTCCTCAGCTAAAAAATGTGAATAGTTGTAGCACCTACCTGTTGGGGTGAATGAAATGAGATTATACAATAAAATGTTTCAGACAATTATTGACACATAGTAAACAAAATAGGACCATTTGTTGGTATGCTCCCGTTTTTGTTAACTTGAATTTGTGAAGCTCAGTTTTCTGCACGTCTAGCTACTGTGTTTCCCTCATTTGATTTCAGAGTGTCAGGCTCCACTGGGAATGGCTTCTGGGCGCATCAGAGATTTTCAGATTACAGCCTCAGGACAATATGGTAAATATTATTTTCTCTCTAAGAACCAGACTGAGTATATATTTTTTACTCCTCTTTTTTTTAAAATATATTTTATTGATTTTTCACAGAGAGGAAGGGAGAGGGATAGGGAGTTAGAAACATCGATGAGAGAGAAACATCGATCAGCTGCCTCCTGCACACCTCCTACTGGGGATGTGCCCGCAACCAAGGTACATGCCCCTGGCTGGAATCGAACCTGGGACCTTTCAGTCTGCAGGCCGACGCCCTATCCACTGAGCCAAACCGGTCAGGGCTTTTACTCCTCTTTAAATATATTCTTATTGATTTCAGAGAGGAAGGGAGATGGAGAGAGAGATAGAAACAGCAATGATGAGAGAGACTCACTGATCAGCTGCCTCCTGCATGCCCTCTATTGACGATCAAGCCCGCCACCTTGGCATGTGCTCTGACCGGGAATCGAGAATTGGGAATCAAACCATGACCTCCTGGTTCATAGGTTGACACTCAACCACTGAGCCACACCCACTGGGCTGTCTTTTTTAGTTTTGTTGGATAGGTTCAGATAACCAATCCATCTCGATCTTCTGTTAATTTTACTCCATAGGTGCCTCTCAAATGTATTTTCTCTTCATTTCCCACTGTGACCATCCTAATTCAGGCCACCATCACTTCTCACCTGGGTAATGCCACTGCCTCCTTAAATGTCGTGCCTGCCTGTGATATTATTCCCTTGAGTCCATTTTCTTCACTGTAATAGGAAGCTGCACTTTTATTCTATTTATCTTTATTATTGAGAGTATTACAGATGTCCCCCATTGCCCCCCTCTACCTGGTTCCGCCCCACCCCAGGCCTTCCCCACACTAATATCTGTGTCCATGGGTTATGAATATATGCTTGTAAGTTCTTTGGTTAATCTCTTACCACCCACCCACCCCCTCCCGCCTGGGATTCCTCAGTCTGTTGCATGCTTCCATGTCTCTAGACCTGTTTTGTTCATCAGTTTATTTTGTTCATTAGATTCCATATATAAGTGAGATCATGTGATACTTGTCTTTCTCTGACTGGCTTATTTCACTTTTCTATTTATTTATGTTTTACTTTTAATTTTCTAATTTTTCCACAATGAACATACATTGTGTAATAAAGAAATAATAATATTTGATAGCGCTGGTAACACATCCCATTGTCAGATAATTAGAGGTCAACAAAATTATTACATTTTAGAAAATAAAAAGGACAAGCAAAACACGTAGGTAGTTAGTAATCGATACTGCTTACTTTGTGCCTTTATCGTCTTCACAGCTAGGCTTGACATTTCTCAAGAGAGTAATTTTGGCCCTAACCAGTTTGGCTCAGTGGATAGAGCGTCGGCCTGCGGACTGAAAGGTCCCAGGTTCGATTCTGGTCAAGGGCATGTACCTTGGTTGCGGCCACATCCCCAGTAGAGGGTGTGCAGGAGGCAGCTGGTCGATGTTTCTCTCTCATCAATGTTTCTAACTCTCTATCCCTCTCCCTTCCTCTCTGTAAAAATCAATAAAATATATATTTTTAAAAAAGAGAGTAATTTTGCCTGGCTGGCATGGCTCAGTGGTTGAGTGTTGACCTATGAACCAGGGTCAGGGCACATGTCCGGGCTCCATCCCCAGTGGAAGGCGTGCAGGAGGCAGCCGATCAATGATTCTCTCTCATCATTGAAGTTTCTGCCTCTCTCTCTCCTTCTCCCCTCCTCTCTGAAACAACTAAAGATATATTTTCCCAAAAAGAGAAAGTAATTTTATTCCTAAGTGCCTAGAACCAACCCAACTGAACCTAATCTCTCTCCCCTTTTTTGGGCAAAGGACAGTGGGCCCCAAATCTGGCCAGACTTCATTATTCTGGATCAATCAATGCCTGGAGCACCAAGGATCCCTTTTCCTGGATCAAGGTTAGAAAACGCATCACATATTCCTCTTGCAAGCTCACAGCACCACACATCTCTTTTGTACATTCTCATCAAACTCCAGGTAACAGATGAGGGGAGAACTGGGGAATAGACTTGAGCATGCTGAGGTGTTCTATTTATGGTTCTTCATCTTTCTCCTGGGATTAGGACATCTGAATACTTTCCACGTCATTGAACTCACCACCTCCCAAGATCGTGTATCCTATGATTAGATGCCTCCAACTGCCGAGGTGGCCTGTGGTCCTCCAATCTCTTTATTTTAACACAGAAACAAATGGCTCAATCTCCCATCACACAAGCCAAGGAAAGTTGGCTTCTTTATTTGAGAGAACAGAATCCGTCTTGTTCACAAATTCTATACCACTGGGTGGTAGGAAGTACCTACTGAAGTTGGTCCAATCTTGTAAACTAACTTGGAGCCAGGAGCTGAAAAAGTGCCTTTCGGTTAACTCGGTTTCTTTTTAAATGACTGTCTTTCAGCTTTTCTCACTTCCCCATTTCCTCTAGAGCAGCACTGTCCCATAGAAATGTAATGTGAACCACAAGTGCAAACCACATGTGTAATTTTACACTTCCTAGTAACTTATAAAAGAGACATGTGAAGTTCATGTTAATACCATTTTATTTAGTACAACATATACAAAAACAGTGTCATGTCAACATGTGATCAATCAGGACTGTGACCCCCTTCAAGGGCATACATACGGGAACTTCTGTGTCCCCTCCATGCCACATGAGAGCTGAGCGCAGCTTGGGAGTGCCAACTCAACCTCTCTGCCTAACCACCAGGGTAGGTTCCTTCTAGAGCCCAAACAGGAAAAGGGAGGAAACGTTTCTGCTTCCGGCTTTGCTCTCGACCTCACATGCCTCCCACCTCTGGTACTCACACCCTGGAGAGGGACTACAGTACACGTTTTGCCACCTGCTTCCCACAGCTCCATCCACTTCTCATAATGCACCAGCTTTCTTCTTTCTCTTCTTCGTTGGCTGAGGACATTCCCCTACGTATTTTTTTCTTTGTGAGATGGCATCTGTTCTTCTCTTTTTCCTGAGGTTAAAAATGCTGAATAGGAATCAGGAAAAATAAACTGCCTTACCAGCAAGCAGGCGCAAAGAGCACATCTGTTAATGCCACATCAGTTCATCTTTTTTATTTGTTTTGTAGGCGCTGCCAATTATGACTCGATTTGAGAGGACTGTTCACTAATCCCCAAGTATTTTTGTTTGTTTGTGAGGCTGCCAAACCACATGTTCTCACCTTGTATTCCTGTAGTTATCACTTTCATTCAACTATATATATATATATATATATATATATATATATATATATATATATATATCTGTGTAGTGGACATTTTAATCTGTTTGGCTGCTTTGCATCTGTTCTATGTATTTATTGTTTTGTAATAGCACCCTTATTTCCACTTGGGAAATTATATCTCCCTCACTGGATACAGTCTGATGAGACTAGTAGAGGGTTTCCCATGCCAAAGAACCCTGAGGATTCCACTTATTAGACTTGACCCATTGTTCCAGCTTGCCAAGATTCTGTATCCCAAAGTATTTCCTAGTCTTCCCAGTTTCACAGAATTTACTGACTTGATCACTAAGCTTTTTTAAAAAAAATTTTTTTATTGATTTCAGAGATGGAGAGAGAGGAACATCAATAATGAGAGAATCATTGATCGGCTGCCTCCTACACACCCCCTACTGGGGATCGAGACCCAACCTGGGCATGTGCCCTGACCGGGAATCAAATCGTGACCTCCTGATTTATAGGTCGATGCTCAACCACTCAGACACGCTGGCCACATGTGTCAACTCTTTAATCCTTCTGGTAAACCTTTGAGATAAACACCATTATTATCTCCACTTTACAGATAAAGAAGCTGAGACACTGAAAGGTTAGGCCACTCAAATAGTTCGTTGCCTTAAGGATTTCAGTCTAACAAAGAAGGCAGATAAGCAAAGAAACCTTTATAACATGATGCAATAATTTGTTAAAATGAAGTTATTATACAAAATGGAGTGGAAGCATAGAAGCAGCAGCACTAAATTTGTCTGGGGTAGTAGGAAAGGCTAATCAAGAAAAATAGTTTCTGAACTAACACTTAAAGGAAGAGAAGCAGTTTATCACAGATAGAAATGTTAGGCTGGGGGCTGGGCTGGAGAGAGAGGGGGAAATTGGCTTTGACTAGGCTGAGGTGTGGGAAAAGCACTAGGTTATGTGGGTACATGTGTACAGCACAAAGGATGTGAGTAGAGCAAACGCTTTCTTTCAAAGCGTTCTGGTTTTACAGGAAGTAGGCTGGAAACTCAATAAGCACCTTTCGCCCAGCTGGCCTGTCTCAGTGGTTGAGCATCGACCTATGAACAAGGAGGTCACGGTTTGATTCCGGTCAGGGTATATGCCTGGGGTTGCGGGCTCCATCCCCAGTGTTGAGCATGCAGGAGGCAGCCGATCAATGATTCTCTCTCATCATTGATGTTTCTCTCTCTCTCCCTCTCCCTTCCTCTCTGAAATAAAAAATATATATTTTTTTAAAAAACACCTTTCCTACTCATTCCATCATATACCCCATGCCTTCACACACACCTACATTTCAACATGGGTATCTGCTTCACCTGCACATCCAAGGTAATACTGGGCATATCTGTGTCAATGTAGAGTCTCCTTAAGTCAATACTTAATTTCAGAAGGTGGTCCATACATTTAAAATAAAGTGTTGTTTTAATTGGCAGGTGGATCTGTTGGCACCAATGATTATTCACAGCATCATGACCCAGGGTGCCCGTCACAAGTTCTCCAGCCTCTACATCTCTCAGTTTATCATCATGTATAGTATCGATGGGCTGAAGTGGCAGAGCTATCGAGGGAATTCCACTGGGACCTTAATGGTATGTAATTAATCCTTTCCAGAGAATGCATGAATCTTTTCAAGAGCTTTTGACAGATTTCAGATATGGGACAAATACTCCTAGCATCTACAGACTTAACTCCCAGAGTTTTCCATGTATGCGTAGTAGGAGTGATTATGGATATACTAGAGGCCTGGTGCACAGATTCGTGCACCGGTGGGGTCCCTCAGCTTGGCCTGCACCCTCTTGCAATCCAGGACTCTGCGAGGGATGTCGGACTGCCCGTTTCGGACTGATCCCTGCAGGCCTGGCCGAGGGATGTAGTAGTGTGCGAAGCGGCAGGTGGCTGGGGAGGATCCCCGAGCCTAGGCCAGGCGCCTGGTGGCTCCCGCTCATCCGGCCCTGCTGCACCTGCTACCACTGCTCAGTAAGCTCGCTGAGAGGCACTCCCACTGTGAGAGCACATTGACCACCAGGGGGGCAGCTCCTCTGTTGAGCATCTGCCCCCAAGTGGTCAGTGTGCGTCATAGTGATCAGTTGACTGGTCTTAACGGTCGCTTAGGCATATATATATATCAACGGTTCTCAACCTGTGGGTCGCAACCCCTTTGGGGGTCAAACGACCCTTTCACAGGGGTCGCCTAAGACCATCGGAAAACACATATATAATTACATGTTTTTGTGATTAATCCCTATGCTTTAATTATGTTCAATTTGTAACAATGAAATTGGGGGTCACCACAACATGAGGAACTGTATTAAAGGGTCGCGGCATTAGGAAGGTTGAGAACCACTGATATAGATGGACAAAAAAATGTGGTAGGATCTCATAGATAATAGAAATTAAGAGATGCTCTGTTGACAGAAACATGTGACTCAGGACTGGGTGGACTGATAAGATGGTGAGTTTGCTTATGGATAATCTAAGTTTGACGTGACAGTAGGACGATCAAATTAAATGTCCAGCAGGCAGTAGATGAAAGGGGGCAAAAGCACCAATGCAGGCGAAGATTTGCATCTTCCACACAAAGGGATGGATGAAACGTGGGAAATGATGAATTCTCTAGGGGCCCAAGACCCTTAAACAGGCTTAAAACCTTAGCAGCAGCATCTACTCTTCCCTCATTTTTATGCCCTCTAATGAATTGATGCACAAACCCAGCCAATTCTTTCTTTGTAATGCCTCTCACGCCTCTTCTGCTTCATGGACACTGCTGTTACTATAGCCGGGGCCCCACCACTTCGCAAGTGACCTATTATGTTACGTTCCTAACTAGTCTTGTGGCCCCTACGAAACCCAGATGAATCATGGGAAAATGACAGATCATCACAAATGTAATCAGGTGGTGATGACAAAAATATGGTAAATTCCAGATGTGGTGTCTCCTCTGGAATAAATGAAGACAGAAGCAGGCACCTGATATGGAACTACTGATGTGGAAAATGCTCTTTTGGTTATTCCCACTGATAAGCAAAAAGAATATATTTGCATTTATGAAGTAGGAACAGGAGTATTAACTTTACTGTTCATGCCTCAGGGTGATGCCAGCTTCCTTGTTTTTTTGTCATAATATAAACCCAAGGGACTCCAAACATCTTGTCACCCCCCACAAAACACCATACTGGTCCATTACACTGATGACATGCTGATAGGACCTGGTAAATAGGAAATAGCAATCACTGTAAGTGTTCCTATGATTAACATATTAATATGCATACACACTGACACACAGTCACATATACAGATCGATAGGTAGATATATAAAACAAATAAGCCTATTTTATTCCTGACTTTAATGGGGATGGAGCCCATATTTTACTGTTTTATATAATGTTCATGGTTAACTTCAAACAAATACCTTTTGTCCTGTTTAAAAGTTTCCTTCTATTTTTACTTTACTTGGAATGGCTGCAGAATTTCATCAAATGCTTTTCGAGCATTTTTGCTGTGATCACATTTCTTCTTTCCTATCGTCAAATTATATATTTACATTCAATGGTGTGCTAGCAAATGTTTAACAACGGGCTCTGGAGCAAAATGCAGGAGGTTTTGATGGGGGAAAGGCCTTGTCTGTAGCATTTGCTGATTTCTATGATGCAAATACTCCCATTACACCAGGTTCCAAGCTGTTGGTGTAATGTCACTGAATGCAGAGCTTGGAACCCATGAACACAATGAACACAATTGGCTCTCACAAGCCAGTACTAGTGAGCGCCAGCACAGCACTGGACTACATTCCTGGGAAAACTGCCCTCGGTCATAGTGTATTAATCATTTAAAACTTATCTGGGGCCCTGGCCAGTTTGGCTCATTGGGTAGAGCATTGGCCCACAGACTGAAGGGTCCTGGGTTCGATTCTGTTCCCTGGGCTCCAACCCCTTCCCTTCCACTCTCTAAAAATCAATGGAAACCCTAACTGGTTTGGCTCAGTGGATAGAGCGTCCGCTTGCAGACTGAGCGTCAGCCTGCGAACCCAGGTTTGATTCCAGTCAAAGGCACATGTGAGGGTTGTGGGCTCCATCCCCAGAGGGGGGTGCGGGAGGCAGCAGATCAATGATTCTCTCTCATCGTTGATGTTTCTCTCTCTCTCTCTCTCTCTCTCTCTCTCTCTCTCTCTGTCTCTCTCTCTGCCTTCCTCTCTGAAGTCAATAAAAATATTTTTTTAAAAAATAAAATAAAAATCAGTGGAAAATATCCTTGGAAGAGAATAACAAACACAAAAAAACTTATCTGGATTCACTTTGCTAGCATCCTATTTAGATCTCTTCTATCTATACTAATAAATAAAATTGGTTTACCTTTTTCAGGGGCTCTATTATCAGGTTTTGTCATGAGAGTTATACTAAACTTGAAAATAAAGTGGAAAAGCTCCCATTTTTTCCATTAAACTATTGCTCTAAAATAGTTTAATTAATGTAGTAATCATGTGTGTGATGAAAGTTAGATGGAAAAGCCACTTGTGCCTTATTAGGTGGTAGATACTTGACAACTGGCACCTCATTTGTTACCTGTAATTAATTTCTGTAAATGTGTACATTAGAGTCCTGTCTCCCTTCCCATGTCATACTGGTATATCTACACACACACACACACACACACACACACACACACACACACACACATCAATCTCTTTTCCCTTTTTAAAAAAAAATATTTTCATTAATTTCAGGGAGGCAGAGAGAGGGAGAAAGGGATAGAAACATCAATGATGAGAGAGAATCATTGATTGGCTGCCTCATGCAGGCCCCCTACTGGGGATTTAGCCCGCAACCCCCAGGCATGTGCCCTTGACTAGAATCCAACCCAGGACCTTTCAGTCCACAGGCCGATGCTCTATCCACTGAGCCAAACGAGCTAGGGCTCTCTTTTCCCTTCTTTATCAGACTTAGCAGGTGTTTGTTCTTTCAGATATTCCAAGAATCAACTCTGCGTCTTAAAATGGAACATAGATTTTAAAGTGTTGTTTTGTAATTCATTAATTTCTGCTCAAAACTTTTAAAATTGTCTTTCACTTTCTTTTACGTTTTGTTTCCTAGAATCTGCAGTTGAAGGCCTAGTTCATTCATTTTTTATCTTTCTTGTTCATTGATAACGATAAAATAGTTATTAACCACTTTCATAAGGGTCATTTCTTTAAGTTATTAACTACAGTTGATCCTTGAACAGCTCAGGGGTTTGGGCACCTACAGTACAGGCAGTTGAAAATCTGCTTATAATTTTGTAATATATATTTTTATTGTTGACAGTATTACAGATGCCCCCCTTTCCCCCGCCCCAGCCTTCACCATACTATTATCTGTGCCCATGGGCTGTACTTATAAGTATATGTTCTTTGGTTTTTCTTTTCTCACCCTCCCCCCCCCCACACACACACACCCTTCTGAGATATGTCAATCTGTTCCATGCCTCAGGACTTATTTTCTTGGTCAATTAATTTTGTTCATTAGATTCCACGTATGAGTGAGATCATGTGATACTTGTCTTTCTCTGACTGGCTTATTTCGCTTAGCATGATACTCTCCAGGTCCCTCCATGCTGTCTCAAAGGGTAAGAGACCCTTTCTTTTTTATTACTGCATAGTATTCCATTGTGTAAATGTACTACTGCTTTCTTATCCATTCATCTACTGATGGGCACTTGGGCTGTTTCCAGATCTTAGCTATTGTAAATACAGCTGCTGTGAACATAGGAGTGCGTATATTCTTTCTGATCGGTGTTTTGGGGTGTTTAGGATACATTCCCAGAAGTGGGATCACTGGGTCCAATGGCAGTTCCATTTTTAATTTTTTGAGGAAACTCCATACTCCAAACTCCCACCAGCAGTGAACAGTGTACCCTTTTTGTTTATAATTTCGGACAGCCGTCCACTTAGGTGGATTCCAAATTACCAGTTGGCCCTTGAACAATGTGGTTTGAACTGCATGGGTCCATTGAAAATATCCAAGTATAAGTGGACCAGTGCAGTTCAAGTGTCAACTGTACTATGTTCTAGGTTCTAGCAAAAGGATGAGCAAACTAGAACCCATGGATTTGGACTACAACCTGATTTTGTATGGGCTGTGAGTTAAGAATGGTTTTTACATATTTAAAGTTGCAAAAACAAAGAAAACTACACTACAGAAATCATTTGTGGCCTGAAAAGATTAAAATTAAAATATTTAAGCTGGTCCTTTACAGGAAAGGTTTGCAGACTGGGGTGTAGTCTAATGGCAGTACAGACACCTAGGCAGTTGGCATTAACCAGTCTAATTTATAAATTTCAGTAAATTTTAGTAAATTTCAGTCTTAGTAATCTTCCTCCAGTGCTGTGGTTCTCCAGTGTTTTATATCTTTGTACCATTCACATACAAAATATTTTAAATATATTTTTATTGGTTTCAGAGAGGAAGGGAGAGGGAAAGAGAGAGAGAAACACCAATGATGAGGGAGAATCATTGATCGGCTGCCCCCTGCACAATCGGGGATGGAGCCCACAACCCGGGCATGTGCCCTGACCGGGAATCAAACCGTGACCTCCTGGTTCATAGGTCAACGCTCA